AGACTATGTTAGGATTTCGTATTAATTGAGTGTATTAATTCGCCGTAGGTTGAATTAAGTAAAAACGACAAACTTTGATACTTTAGACTTCAATTATACATTTACGTACAAACCACACAGGGTCTGCGATCTACCGCAAGGTAGTTTCCTTACCTGATAATATACCTACTGCTCGCACAATCACTGCAAGCGAATCTCACGGGGAACGCCGGTCGGTGACTATACGCCTATACATTAAAATATAAATTAATTTACACTTAAAAAGATATTGCTTCCACAGCGTGTACACCCAAAAGGAGTTGAATAATCACAATTTTTTTTCTGAGCGAGGCCGGGTAATTCAGCTGGTAATAAATAATTACCGATGGCAATAATATTATTAGATTCTCATTTCTGCGAGGAGAGATGAATGCAATGGTTTTACAATAATGTGTGATGATTTTTGTTTGTGTCCTTATACACAATCAATTGTTTAAATAATGTAGTTTGAATACCTACTTACACACGGACAGATGAAATATGTATTTGTTAATATAAAAATAAATTAATAAATTTACAGTTTGCTTTGATTATTTTGTTATCAAGCGTGCTAATTGTCTACCCTCTTATTATTGTGTAGGTGTAATGTTGATACTTGTTTTATGTTTAAAATAAGTAGTTAGATTCGTATAAAATAATATTTTATAATATAATGTTGTATGACGTATAATACTAATTAAAATTTTTAAAATTTTGTAGGTACAAATTTTAAATAAATCGACTTCAAATATTCAAGTCCATTTTGCAAAACTAATCTTGCTCTAAGTTAAAACGGCATGCTTTCAAATTTGTAGTGGGTCAAACATCTTTAATTGCTGTGTTGATCCCTTGGATATTAACTCAGATATTACCTACAATATTGGAGTGACAGAAACTTCCTTTCTTATTGTGAATTTTTGCTAAATTTATTCTATACATTGGTGAATTAAAATAACCCTGAACCTAGTGTAGCGGATCACATATGTGTGGCACCGTTACATGATATACTGTAAAATATAAAATATATGAATAATAATAATAAAGAAGAAGGCTTATATACGTAGTATAGTTATCTGGGATACACATATACACAAACAATTGACAGCATATATAAGAGACACACCATGTTAAGTTCGTTGGTTTTGGGACCAGTTCCCGCCAGCTACCCGCCAGGCAACGAACTCCGGATAACGATACTGTTAGTAAGTATTTCGATATTTCTGTAGTTAATAAGTATTGCGTATGACGTATGTAATAAGACTTATTATTACAACTTGGTATTGTGTATGCATTTAATGAGTATTATGTAATAATAAAAACATATCAACTAGAACTTAATATTTGATCTATCTTTCCTGAAGCACCCGAGTTACGGTTAAAATATAATTCATAGGGCTTTGAAAACCCTCACTGAATTATCTAAATATAACAGGTTCACCAACCCCGTTACACTAGTATTGGGTATCTGGAACACGAATGCTGCAGAGTCTTTCTATAGTAGACGGGGAACGTCAATGTGCCCTTCTAATAATTTCTTATGAGGTAAACTTAACACAAAATGTATCACGCCTTTGTGCAGATAGTGATTCGAGCCCAAGTAAGAGGCCCATAAACGTGCAATATTAAGGCAGTGACCAGTAAAGCCGAGGAAACGATTCTGAACTTTATCAAGTCGTAGGTACCACCTTTTTGGTATAAGGAGGCCAGACAATGGAACCTTATTTAAGTGAAGACCTAACTTGGCGGCATTATATGTAACGAAAGAAGACATTCGGTGAGGCGTAAATGAAACCGATTACACGGAACGACTTACGTGCAATAAAATCGATACCATGTGGTCGGAAATCGAGTGAAGTGGAGTAAAGGAATAAGAATAAATGTTTTATTTTATCCACTCAAAAAAGAGGCATGGTCCATCACCTTAGCATTATACAAATCTTAGTACATCCTGCATACGAAAATAGGACATTACCTAGCACTTGCTAATATTAAGAGATATTCCGACAGTTTTACACCAATCAGGAAATTTATCTACCTAGTGCGTCCTGAAGAATATTAAACAGTCGTCCTGTATATTATCATTGTACTCATTAGTCGCAGTACTCTGAATTTCCGAATTTGGACAGCTATGTGCGGTAATGAAAATAAAGTGAAGAACGAACATTATAAATCGTTTAATTTTAATTTTGGTTTTCCTCTTATTTGAATGCGACCATCTCCACAATGGCACAATTTATTTAATAAATATATAATTAATTATATATTATTATTTATTTTTATTTTTCTTCGGTTTGTGAAAAACATATTAAAAGAAAAATGAAACATCAAGATGACACAAGGAAAGTCCGAACTCTATAGAGTTAAAAATTAGTTATAAAGAAATAAAAAATAATTCATTCATTGAAAATAAATTCTTTGACTACCTACAAACTACTGATACAACGAATTTAAATAAATATATTGGATTAGCAAAACAAAGCCGTTTTTTTGTTCTGAACAAAAAAATGTTTAATTATAGAAGAAACACTTTAAAATCAAGATACATTTTAAGCCCCTTAAACAAATGCACAATTTCGTTTACAAGAATGCCTGATACATCTTTTTTATCTATTATTTTATTTTATCTAATAATTTACCTGCGTTTTATCTAGATAAATTTTGATTATTTTTTAACTATTAAATAATTTTAGTTGAATTTATTTTTAAGTTTATCGCTAAATAGATTTTCGGTCAATTATCTTTGTCTTTATGTAGATGAAAAAAATATTCGGGGGAATAGAAGTTGAAATCAAAAAATTAAAATTCTGACAAAGAAAGAAAATCACCGCTTCCAATCCTCATATACAAAGTACCATACAAGATGTATTGTGTACCCAAATAATAATATGAACTTTAACTACCATTACTAATTCATAATTATTGTATGTTAGTTACAATAACATGATGTACCTCTCCTAGTTGTACAGAAAATATTTACTATAGGTACCGAGATAAATGTTTTCATGTGGGTTACTAGGACGTTATGAATAGAAATAGATGTTGCTATTTTCAATAAAATGTTTTCCGAAACCAGATTTTCAGAGATAAAATTTTATTGAAGTTTATTTCAAAGACTTTTCATGGACGTTGGGCGAGTGATAATATTTGATTAGACTTTATTCGCACACACTCGAACGCAACCGACGACGTGACCATTGACGTGACCGCACCATTAGCGTAAGGAAAAAGGATTATTTTTATTTCAAACATTTTAATAACAATATTGATACTGACGTAATGACGTGCGGGTCGTGACACATTCAATAAAACAGATAGTTATATAAGTTTAAATCCGACAGCGCTCTGGCTTTAAATTAACAGCCATCGTAACCGCATTTTATCGACATAACATAATATATTATATTGTGAGGTTGAGAACTGAATTCTACAAACTCTATTGGAGACAGACTTAAAGGTCATTACCGTGTGCTTAACCGCGTGCGCCATTTAACCCGATCGACCGCAGTTCAGTCAAACGATAGTGTCTATGTGTGAAAAACGTTAGTTTTGATTTTTATTCTTTTAGACGTCACTGGAGATTAATACATTTTGGTGACAAATGGTAACCATAGTCACCGTTGTGGTACGGGGTCGACTACGTCTTCATTTCTCTCCGAAAGACTCCGTGCCAATGAAAATTCGGTCACTACAACAGTGTAGTATAATTTGGTATAATGTAATAATATATTATCATAATATTAATATGCCAAACGTTAGTGACTTGGCAGGTCTTATTGTGCACAAGTCGTAACTCGTAATCGGTTCAAAGGTAGGTTTTTAAGCTACTTATTATATTTCTCGAGAACTTTACAAGTAGGTAGTAATAATATAACACTAAGTATACAGCTTCTGACATTCGTGTGAAGGCGTGCGATGATGAAAAATTGAACTAAGCGTAAAGTAATAATATAAACACGTACAATTACAACACGTTAGTTTAAATAAATATGGCATTTAATATTTGAAACAATAATGTATAGTAATATCTAGGTACAACTCAAGTAGTAAGTAGGTATATTAAAATATTTGTCACATAAAAAGTTTTGTTTTTGGTAACACAAAACCAATTCTTTGGAAAAAATTACATCGTTTACGCTCCAATTATAGGTCAAACTCATAAATACAACGTTATCGTCGGTATGTAAGTCTTATAAAAACGAATCGATCAGTCTATCGAGGTATAAGAAACACTTTTTTATTTTTATTATAAATTGTTAATAAATATCACCAATTTACACAAAATAAATATTTATATTACTTTTCCTCTATACGTGTCCCTAACATAATATAAAAATATATATTTTAATCAATCATAATGTAATGGAATGGCTCTCGTGTCTATGTGAAAATAAAACGAGCAAAATTTATTTTAGCAATAACGATGGAATCAACAGCGTTGATAATTTTCTTTGATAAAAAAAAACTCTATCGCCTCCCGTCCTCCCCAACCGTAACCGTAGTATTCAAGAGTTCGTGGGAAAGGTCCATGGTACCTTTAAATTTATTTTTAGTATACAAAATGTTTTTTTTTTTTTTTTTTTGTTGATCTTATATAACATCTCGTCATAATTCCCCTTCACACTCTTGTTAAAAACTATGCTGGGGCCACAACTTCGGCAAAAGTAAATTTTCTACACGAACGCGTCAGCACGAAATTACGAACTAACGATGCGAATATTACTGCGGTTTTCACCTATACACGATATCTTTGCCGAATTCGTTGCCAGATGATGATATACAATATTTTTATAGCATAGGTACCTAACCACATATTGTAGTATAAATTGTAATGATAAACGATTAAATGTATACATAAAAAATAAAAATCTTAACGGATATAAAAATATGATATGACACGTAACAGATTTTGATAACAGGTTATTCAATATTTGTAATAATAATAAAAAAAAAAAATGAAATAAATAATGATAATGGCACGCAGATCACAAATCTTCTTTGATTTCTTTGCGGTCGGTCGAGGGCTCGTCTCTCGCAACCTGCACGGTCACGGAGTCTTCGGTGTCGCTAACGTAACCGTCGTCCGACGTGTACCGGATGGGATAGATGAGCAGAGGAGACGCAGACAAGGCGATTAAATTGCGTTCGTCAAATTGCTCCAACCATTCGGCCCTGTAACAATAATAGATAACATTTTTTTTTATTATTATTATTCCGAGATGGTTTCCCTCACCAAAAACAAAAAAATCAAACGAGACCAAACAATACCAACTTCGAGCGTGCTAGTGAATAAATCGCGCTCGCACTCCGACGGGATTGTCAAAAAATAATATTATATTTTATATTATACGTAACAGTTGCTGCAGAATACATACACATGAGAGACTATATATATTCGAACGTATACAGGGTGACCCACAGTGAATTACCGTTTCGTGTGCGTAGGGTAGTTCGAACGAAGACCAGTGAGAACGTTGTGGGCCACTCTGTACCCACATTATAATATGCCAGCGGACACTATACATACAATATCAAATGGTATAATATTATTATAATATCGGTCTGTGTATATATTTTACGTATTCTTTACTCGCTATAAAAATGCGATTTCGATGCGGCAAAACAAACAATATTGATACTTAGGTGGGATAGTAGTAAGTACTATGAGTACATACTTTATAAGTATTAATATCAATTAATATTTATACATAATATTAATATATTATTATATTATACCCATCCGCGTTAGTCGTTTCGATATCTCGTGTACCACACAAAGCATATTGAAAAAAAATCTGATTCCGTCAAAGTTTTAAAACACGACGAAATAAAGTTCTTGGGAAATAATTTTAAACTATGTTGTTTTTATTTATCTTCAACGGCCAAAGCCATTCGTCATATCTCGTATAAAATTCGTTACACAAAATGATATCATCGTAATCGAATCCATCATCTCTTTAACTTTTGACACTATAAAAATATAATATAATATACGATGTGGGTTCTATCGTGGGTGAAAATAATCACGTTATATTTTACACACACTTAATTTTGTGTTTTTTTTTTTCCATAGATCGTAAGCTAACTAAAACTATATAAGTTATGTGTACCCATGGACAACCATTAATCCGTTTCACTAATGCCTATAATATTATAAAAATCAATATCTTTATTGAAAACTTTAACAATTTTCAGTTTTATTTTGTTTATTTAGAGAAGAATTCGGTCGTAGAAACGTAACGTCGTAAAATTCAATATTAGTATTTACCATATTTTTTGTGTCAATTTTAAGACAGTATAATATAGGTATATCATGCTATATTATTATAATCTGTACATTTATTTGACTTATAAATTCAGGCTCGGATTAAGGCATAAGCAGTGTACCTATAAACTACAGCCTACAAACCTCGATTCACCACGAATTTAGAGCACTATCAATTATATTGATTTTGAATCACACTTTTTTCAATACAAAGCACAGATTATCTTTTAACGTTTTTTGATTAAGTACGAGAGCTTATATGGTAACTGATAAGTTAAGATTTTATGTGTACCTACCTAAAAGATAGGGATAGTGTAAAAATTGTTTACACCAGTCGGACATGCGATTTTATACTTATTATATATGTGTTTAAAATAAACCCTATGTAATTGTATTTTATTTTTATTGTTATATTCTTTGTTCATATTATGTCTAATAAGTTTAAAATATTATATTACCTATAATTAATTTAAGTTTAATAATGATGGGATTTTGTAAGACGATTGAAAAATGTAAAACGTTTGTATGTACAATATACTCATAAACACAAATTAAATGGGTAATCAAAAATGTGTTCATAAATGGCTAGTAAAATATAACTATTGGCTAGCACATAATTTTTCAGTCTACGGGTAAAACCATACGTCTTAATCCAGGCAAAGTATTGGATTCAAAAGTTTGTTTAATATTAGTTCATTAACAATTCCAAAACCAGCTATTAAAAATGTTATCAAATCTAATTTATGTTTTTAATTTTGAAAATCAACAACATTCAAATATATAAAATTTATAATTAAACATTTCAAAATATATGATTGTTCGACAACTTGGTTTATTATTTTTTGCATGGTAATTATAATAGTTTTATAATTAAATTATCTCTGCAGGTAGGTGGATAGAATGAATGAATTATATTTAAATGACATTTCATAATATTGCGCACTTGGATGGACTGTTATGAGAAAACTATAATTTGTACTTCATTTTTATGTTGAAGTAAAATAAAATGTTAATTATAAGACTGAAAAACATTGCGAGATATGCTTGTGATATCGCAATAAACGTTACCCGGTCTTTATATTACAATATTATGCTTAATGATGTGATGGAAATAAATAAAGAGAGCGTTTTAAGTATATAAAATGCAATATTAAAAAGGTGGACAAGTGGGTACCACTCTGCTCTACATTAGGTTCGAGTAGATCATTGACCTCTGTCCTCTGTAATGGAAGTGTTAAATTTGAATTCACTAATATAAAAATCATTGTATAGGTAGTTACGAAAATCGATTCTGAACAAAGACGGTCCTTCGTTTAATAATTTTAAATTACGAAAAAAATATCTAAAGTCGTTATGCTCCATTTAAATATTTAATTTCGTCCAAATTTGAACTTAACCAGTCTATAAAAAAAAAAAAAAAACAGTGTTTTTAGATTTTTTGGTTCCACTATAAAATATTTATGAGACATATTGCTTTACATATTTAGTCCTTGGCTATACACATTTTATATTTTATACATTTTTTATTACAAAATAATATACAAATTTTCGTGATTTTGATAAATGTTGTCAACATTTAAAAATTAAATGCTTATAAAAAAAATCCTATATAGTATATATCTTTAATATTTTGTAGCTTATATTATAAAAACTTATAAGGAACCTTGTATTACGTTCTCAAACGTTTAGACAAATCGAAAAAAAGTTTATCAATATATATATAGAAAATCTAAGACAAATTTTAAACTTTAAATGGCTATAAATAGCTCAAAAAAGTCTAACTATTTTTTAAATTGTATCGTTAATGTAAAATGCTAATATATAATATAAATTTGTATTTCATTCGATAGAAATTTCGAGTATCTACGGTTTTTTTTTTTTAGTTACTCTGTAAAACAAAATTGATTTTGTCGAAAACTGATTTTAAGTAATATTCCAGGTTTTCATTAATTTTTTTTTTCCTGACTCTTTTGACAACTTCTGGGAATTTTTTACGATTCTGTAGAATACACCAACTGGATTCACTATCCCACCAGAAAAATTACTGAAATTGAAAATCGAATACTTATCTGTGTACGTACAGACATAAATAAAAAAAACACACATTATTGTACAATGTACAATCAATTCATTCATCGCTCCGCTCAGAATCTAAGACTATAAAAAATTAATTAGTATATACTTTTGTAAAATTAATATGGGTAATGGCATATAAATTACTGGCTTCAAAATCTAGCGATGTCAATAAATTCTAAACGAGCTTAATAGTATCAACCTTAACGACTATAATAGTCTAGTAACAGAACCATTGTATAAAAAAACATATACCTACGAGTTATTTGCATAAAACAATAAAGTGCAAAGTTGCTAACCCTTAATCGGTATAGAATCTATTATAAAATAGGACTTGTGAAAATACTAGTGACGGCGACAATACGTATGCGGCAGCGGTATTATAGCACTAAAATGAACGAGAGACAATTATAGCCATGTAACATAATATGTGCGATAAATAGTTCACAAAAAACAGCACTTTGGAAGTACACTGACGAACGCACAGAGGCAAGAAACCGTAACCTTGTGACGTGTGCATCAAGTCGTTCGCTAGAAATGGCCAATCGACGAGACTGCGAAAGACGCATACGGGTGAAAAACCGTACCCGCATGCTGGAAATCGTTCACAGGTGTCAGCAAGCTGAATGCGTCCGTCGTCGATGCTTCGTCAAATCGCCACCTCTGGAAACGACTTGTCGCATGTATCGCACGGGCGAGAACCTTAGCCATGTGGTATGTGAGTAAAGTCATTCACAGATATCAGCAATCTGAAGGAACGCAGGAGGACGCACACGGATCGTAAGGTTTCTGACTGGAGTGCGTCCTCCTGTGTTCCGTCAGATTGCTGATATCTGTGAATGACTTCACTCGCATGTCACATGGACGGTTCTCGCCCGTGCGATGCATGCGACAAGTCGTTTGCTATAGAAGTGGCGATTGGACGAAACAACGACGGACGCAAATTATACGGGTGAGAGACAGTAGCCGTGCACCGGGTGCAACAAGTCGTTTGCTGCAGGAAGTGGCGATTTGACAAAGCTCCGACAGATTCATTCAGGTGGTATGCCGTACGATGTATGTGACAAGTCGTTCCGTCAAAGTGATGAAAATGTATAATCGTTAATGTGTCTCTTTCAAGTTCATTTTTTTCTAATAAAATAATAATCATGGCTGAGAATTTAATGCCCTAGAAAACCTTTAAAAATGCAATATAAAATGCCAACAATTATAGTATAAAATTCACTAAGAATTGTTTTTAATTTAATTGTTATATTGATACTATAGGATATTATATATTAGTAAATTACATTTTACATGCATAAAAATGGGTTTATTTATTAAAAAAAAAAATAATAAAAATATTAATTGAATTTGAATTTGAATATGAATTTTGTATAATGCTATTCACCTGAAACGTGTTTTAACATTTTTTTTATGTATTTATTTTTTTAGATAATAAAACAAACTTAAATATTATATTTGTTTGCGAGTACCTTATTTATTTTAGTCTTTACTATTAAACAAAATCCAAAAAAAAAAAAATTTTCAAACATGTCAAATGAAGGAATTTGAAAAGTACCGGAAAATTAACTAAAAATGCAAATTAAAAGTTTCATAAATGGATTCGTCAGTAGCGAAGCGTCATAGGAGACAAAAAGACAACGTCTCTCCACTTGGAAATTAGAACACGGGACGAATAAATAATTATTTTGTTTTATAAACATGAAAAAAAAATATTTAAAAACGTGAATTTTATTTTATAGTATAAATATGATTTATGTTTCAATATTTGTTAAAATCGGTTATTCGTTGTACATAGTTACATAATTTAAATTATGTACTTACAAAGCTTTTTTTTTTTTTTTTTTTTTATTAGATAAATAGAATATTTACAATCTGTAATTTTTATGATACAATAAGTAAATTAGGTAATGAAAGAAACAATAATAACATGAATGGCTTGAGGAGGGAGGCCCACCAGTGTGGGTACCCTCTAACTTGGGGTGAGGGATGTCATGGAGTGGACGAAATGGGAAGTGTAATTTTGTTAATTAGGGAAGTAAGAGCCAATAGAAGAGGGTTTAAAATACATTTTAAATCTTCAATAAATTTGTTGATGATGTGGAGAGGTTGATTGACTGATGAAGAGTTGGCTGTGGCTTTGGCATAAGATGTCGGTTTTTGATTTGAGTTGTAACTGGGGACGTTGAAGATTTGTGGTGCAACAGGTACAGCAGATGGTGGGCTGGGGTGTTTTTTCGGTTTTTCAACTTTGTCAGCTTTGTAAGCGACTTTGTAAATGGTGCGCTTTAGTAAATTTTTAAAAATTTGACAACCTTTGTAGTTGGCAGTGTGGTTACCGTTACAGTTGGCGCATTTAACGGGTTCTTCCCGTGGTTTAGAGCAATCTTCGGTGAGGTGGCTTAACCCACATTTCACGCAACGCGGAGGTTGGTGGCAATAATTGCGTGTATGTCCATACATTTGACAAGAGTGACATTGGGGAGGACCAAGTGGCCTTATCGGATGCTCGAATTTCACAATTGAGTTAAACAATTTGTTTATTTTGAAAATGTCGTTGTTGTTGCTGTTGCGGGCTAGGGAAATATTGAATAACGGAAGTGGCGATTTGTTTGTACGATTGAGTATGTTTGAAATGCTGATAACTTTGTGTCCAAGGTCTCTTAGGCTATTAATGATGTCCTCGGTGGTGGTAGAGTGGTGGAGGTGACGTAATACAACGCGGAACGGTTGGAGAGCGCGGGGTTGATAACAGTGAAAATCACAGGCGGCATTGATCAGATAAGATTTAATGGCTACATACTGAGCTCGTGTATTTGTCCGTAAAATTAAACTGGATTTTTTAGCTTTGCAGGTGAAGCTCTCTGGGCCCACCAGACGGGTAAGATCCTTATTGAGAGTAGTAAAGTCACTTACGTTTTTTAGGACGATGTTAGGAAGTTTGAGGTTATTCTGAACTGGCAACGTTACGCTGGATGGTGAGACGGGGAGGTTGGCGATATCAAGTTCTTCGTCTTCCGTTCTTAAGACTTCAAAACGGTTTGGGGAAACAAAAACTTTGCTCTTTTTGTCTTCGTGGACCGGAGAGTTTGGTGATGACGATGACGATGAGAGGGCTCTTTTTGTTGGAGTGGCATTCATTTTCGATTTGCGAACGGTGTTTTTGTTAATTATAACGATAGGAGAAACCACATTAGCCATGGCAATTAAAAGTAAACTGATAAGATACGTAACACATTACGGAACAGCGCACATGCTATCGCTTTGGCTGCCGAAACCCGACTGACTTACAAAGCTACGTTTTACAATCACCAAAAAAAAAATGTTCGTTATTTTAATGATATTGTTTTTATTTCGTACAACGATTGATGAAAGAGTAAGTTTGATATATGATAATCGTAATTTTTTTACGATGGTTTTTGTCGGAAATACTGTAGTAATCAATGTAAACAAAGTATATAATAATAATATATGTGTAAAGCAGGGTAATATACATGATGAGGCTATAGCCATTTTTTTTTTAATTTTACGAAAAAATATTTTTTAAAAACCGCTTAAAGTTATGATATTGTTGTACATAAATCATAGCCATAAAAAAAATGTAGATATTTGATTTTCATATATATTTCACATATTAAAATAATATATAACTGGTACGTTGCATTATACGATTTTTACATAGTATAACAGCTTACTACACTTTATATACAGGATGATTCACCAAGCATGGATTCCATTTTTTAATTTTTTTTCCTTAAATAATGAATTTATTCAAATTATGATTTTTGGAATTTTTAAATATAGCTAAAGAGTGTTCTTTGGAGATACAAACTTCTATTTTCAATGAGATCCTCTTTTTTTAATGCAAACTAATTAATGGATTATTATTTTTTTGAAAATTTAGTTGTACCTATTTGAAAAAGGAGTACCTAGTTTCTCAGTTATTAAAATATTTATAATAAGGATAAAAGTCCTTAAAAATGGTTTTACAAAAATATAAAATATATTATGTAACATTGAATCTAGTATATTTATTATAGGTATTACCATTTTTACAAATTATAATTTTTGTTAGACTAATATTAATTACTACAATTTTCAAATCACCCTTATATTTTCCAAACCATTTATCATGGACCAATTATCTTTCGTACATAAATAGTTAAATAACTCAAAAATCGAATTTTGCTTTTTTTATTTGTCATAATTTTCAGAAAAACTATCCGCAAAATAGTTTAAGAAGAAAAAGGGTTCTCATTTGAAAAAAAAAAAGCAGTTTGTTCCTCCACAGGACACTGTTTAAGTAGTACCACAAATCTAAATAGTTAGAAATATGGTCATAGAAAATTACAAGAATCAGATTTTGAATAACTGCATTATTGAAGAAAAATGGGGTGAGCATGAGTGGTGAATCACCAAATCTAACCTAACCATTTTGTATAGTATATTTTATAAGGAATAAAATATCTAATCACTGATCTAATTACCATATCACTCGTTAAACCGGGCCACAAGATGATAGTAAATATGACATTATAACACTGCTGAAGAAGTAATATAGACTAATAATTGCAAGAAAGAAAATAAAATCGAGTAATTATAATTTCATTATTTTAGAACAAAATATATTAAGTCTATAATAAATGTATTGAAAACGTTTCTTAACAATGCATAGGTAACTATTAATTATAGCTATACCTATATAACTTCACAAAAATAAGTGTAATTTTTTTCTTTTTTTTTACTTTTATGAAATCATAAATACATAACTAAAACTCCTTTTTTTTAAGATAGGTAAGGTTTTTTCCACTAATCCATCCTTCTCTCATACAAAAGTAATTTATGCGCCACTCGTATAGAGGTAGAAGACAATAAAATATTATAGGGAGGTGAACGTTTGGACACATTGACCCAAAATCACGTTTGGGTACAAATAGACACATCGTATGAACACATAGAATAAAATGTATTTGAGTACATAACCATAACTTAACGAGAAAAATCAGAGAAGTATGGATACGCATAAACAAGACACATTTGGGTAAATAAAACTAACGATAACATTTATATGTAATACACGTACTGTTATCGACTAAATTGCAAAAAATAAAGCAAGACGAAAATAATGACTTTTGATTTTTATAGATTTAATATAATACGATCAAATAATGATTCAATTGTTATTTGTAATGATAAAAATATTTTTTAATTAAAGTTGCGAAAAAATAAGAGCCAACGACCTCGTGGTGTCTCTTGGGTAATGCTAATAGTCTATAAAATACGTAACATAGTAATAAAAAAAAAATGTGCTCCTAAACGTGGGTAAACATACCAAACGTGGTATTATTTTTTTTTTAAATATCATGTACCCAAACGTTTGTAATGATATTTTTGGTGTCTGAAAAAATATGTAACTAAACGTGTGTACCCGGTCGTTTTCCAATTAAAGTGTAGTATATCGTTTTGTGCCTAAATTAATTGGTAATTAGTTATTTCCTTTGATAAAATCGTCACAATCCGATTTTTTACCTATGAAAAATTCGTTTCTAGTTTAATTATCAGCGTCGATATTAATGATATATGTAATATTCATTATTATGGTATTTCGCATTAACTAGTCATAATAATAAATGTATGAAAAAGAAACGTTCGTTCGAAGTAGAAAGGCTTACTTTGCATAGGTATATTGACAGTATCGAACGTTACTCAGTCTTAAGTCCATGCAAAATGATATGGAAACATACTACGGTATTACAATAATAATTGGTGCTTATTACTACCTTTTATAATATATTATTGTTTATATCTTTTGGTATAGTATAATATTCGATCGTCATTATTCATTCACACGCACAATAATAACACACACACACACTATACAGAACTACAGAACTTACTGAGGATGTTGATTGAACATTATCGGTAGGAATTCGTCCACCGGCAGCAATTTCTTTAACGGGTTGGCATTTAACAGTTTCTTGGCACCACGTCCGCTCAACAAATATCCGAGTGTCCAATACGAATAGCCTGGTCGCACTAGGAGTTTCGAGTTTTCCAACCGGCTCTCGTTGTTGTCGTTTAACGACTTTCGGCCAATGTAACTGTTTCGACACGCAACAATAGTATAATAATAATAAAAATAATAACTTACATAAAATATGATGAACGCCATCCGAATTGTAAATGCTTTTTACGTAGGTTTCTACGATGGGTTGTTAGCAACACATTTTATTATACGTACACTAAATCCCAAGAAACTTTTAGGCGTCTCAATTCGTTCAATACCATTTGTAATTTGAAACGGAAATACGGTTCAAATCTGGCATCGTCTTCTAGCACCAAAACTTCGTCTAGACCTTCATAAGTTGTCTGAAAAAAACAAAACCTAAAATAAATGTCAACGTTCTCACACTTAGTTAAATATTTCTATTTAAAAATCTAATTTTCGTAATACAATATTTCTTAAAAACACCACTTTTACAATATTGTATCCATAACTATGTAGATTTGATGCATTGTATAAAAGTATTTAGTATTTTCATAACTTTTACAATTTTCACAACAAACAACAGTACAAAATAAAAATATACTTAGTACCTGGTATTAATAAAATATTAGACTGTTTTAAGTTTTAAGTTTTACATTTTGTATGGTTAATATACATATTACGTTATACGAATCGCGGGTAACTACTCTAAAATATACATAATATATTATACTCTGTGAAAATAATTGTAATTTAACTTTTTTTTAGGTACTCGAGTCGAGAACTATGTGTTCTTAATCAATTCTGGACGTGTTATACTTATATGTTTTTGAATTTATACAATTACAAATCAGTACACACACATACACCTATAATAGTATATATTAATTAGTTTTGGACACTTGACTAATCGATATTAGTCAGTGTCAAAATCGAGCGTATCAATAAACACTATATTCAGTCAACGCTTGCAATCGCATTCCGCCGTGATAGATGATCGTTTTACGGGCGGGGTAACACATAAAACAATAAATCTACATGGCCGGAAGAGTGGTGCAAAAGAGAAACACATAAAACAAAATAACTACACTTATTTTCCGCGTATTTTAACAACAAAAAACCGATTCCAAAACTATAGAAAAAGAATAAAATTTGAAACGACTAAACCGTGGACGGGTCACTTGCAACATTGCAGTTATTTTACTAGTAACAAATTACATGAAACATGTTCACTATAAGGTCTGCACGTTTGGAAACCATTTCGGTTATTGTCTACGACAGAAACGCGTAACGCAAATAATCATAACATAAACATCTGTTGGATATCCGTTGGTTCTTTTATTAGACGGTTTATTTTTATTTTATTTTTTTAATTAAAACTCTTCATTACTAAATAGCATATTACATTATATACCTATGTATATATTCACGTACATATTATTATGCGCACAAAAATGACCAATGCCGCAAAACACGTTTTCGTATTACAATAGATACAATTTCGTCGCTACACAAGGTATGAAATGTATAAAATTATACATGATATACGTGCCTAATAAATTACAGGGGTCTTATAGTAAAATAATTACCAAATAACCGTAAATCTAATTTTTGTTTGTCTACTGTATAAACATTTTTCGATAATGGGTCACCGTCAATAGCTTAGTTGCAGACAATGAGTTATTTTATAGTAACGCCATTGTGTAAGGCACTTATCGGCACACACGATATTTCGCGGTCGAGAGATAAAATTTAACATTCATTATTCCGCGAACCTCTTCCAAATAGTGAACATAAACTTCCTAATGAACACAGATATAGTGGCGGAGGTCACAATACTGTCGACCCCAACAACCTCGGAAAATTACCACGACGTTAATAAAATGTTAAGTATCTATAATGTATGTACATGCGCTCAAAGTCATTGTTAAATAGTTCCGATAAATCATAATAATATTATCTGCGTTTTCCGAGTGTATGAAAGAAGAGAAAAATTGTACATTTTTTCGCAAAAGCTAAATGTTAAATGTATTTCCAAGTACCTACCCGTTCAATTTGCCCGACTGCAGTGCTTTAAAACGAGGTCTGGGCGTTTGTGCCTTGCGGTTTTATCATAATATATTCATTATTTTTATCAGCTCCGACCCCTCCCCTAACCTTCTGGATTAAAACTCTGGATACACAGGTGCGATATACTACTGGTGTGTATATAGGATTAAGTTTTAGCGGCATTACAAAAATGCGTTCTTCGCGCTTCAAACGTTTTACCCTCTATATTCCGTTTATAACCATGCACTGCAATACATTCGGGACATACATCTTTGTATAAAAGCGGCAAGTTAAATTAGAACCAAGTTTTAGTGGTGTTGCAAAAATGTGTATGCGTGTCAAACGTTTTACTCTATCGTGGTCTTACATACAACTATACGGTGATCGTGATAGACGATACAGCAGTTAGTACTCCTAGCACGTGTATTATATTATGGAATAATTGTCGAAAATTATAGGTTCGTGCGGGGGCGTGACAATCCATCTGGAATTCCGTTTCCGGCTATAAAACACTATGCATTACTAGCAGTCGTATAAAAACGAAATCAAGATGAATTCATTTTTAAAATTTGCAATAATTTTTCAGAGCATTTCAAAATAAATAATATATTTTGATCCAGCACGGCGATATAAATAGGCAAAATAGGTACACCACTGTCGTGGATTCGTTTTTACCGGTATTTCATTACAATAAATTAATATTATGATACTAAATTTTAACGCCTAACTAGTAATATTACATTAACTGGAAATACTCAAAACTCAAATAGCATTGCATATAATAGTTACAACTATCTCCAAACATCCTTTGACCGCAATTGTTTTGGCGCTCTCACCACTACCACGACCGCGTTTAAACTGTGATTAAGGTAGCACAGCTCTTACCACTAATTTGCCCATACAATGATTGTCTTCACACGACCGACCACTGTGGTAGACACGTTTTACATTACACCAACTCCGTTAACTCTGCCACGAAACTCTATCATCAAACAAATTCAGTGCACCCGAAGTGAGTTGACATGTGAAGTAAAAATATTGAAAACTTAAAAAATGTGTTTTACAATTTAATTTAACTCCGATTCAGTTGACTCTCATCATAATATGCTCACATGATAAAATATATTAAAATACAAAAGCTATAATAATAATTGTTTTAATATTACTCATTGACTATAGGTACTTGTGGTTAATTGGCACCCTTAAAATACACCAATAGTCCTCAGAGTTATTGTTATATTATTATCCTGTAAGGCGGCAATCACAAAAAATAGTTCTATACACACAGGGTTAAGAATAATCGGATTAACAATAGTTCAAACAATTATTTAACATTCACAGCCCTATCCCAAATTCGTACAAGACGAAGTGTAAGGACATAATCAGCTTTAGGGCTACAAAAACATTTACAAACTAAATGGCTACGCCTTAGTTGCCAACAAAAACACAACGATGAATATAATTTACAATGAATAATGTCTAATATGAAATAATACCAATAGGTTATACAGCTATAATATGGAATCCACCGGAATTATAGACGTAGAGACCTGCAGGTCCTTTCGTGGCCTATTTTTTTTCAAATATTATAATATTGTTATTCATAATCATAAGAAATGTAAATAGTTTTTTAATTATAATAAATATTTATATAGATAAATTAATATGTTGTGTGACAGGAATATACCCAAAGAAAGTTTTAATTTGTAATGATCGATCGATATTCTATCAAGCAAATTCACCCAACTCAATCTCACTAAAACCAAACACGATTAAATTATTCGATTAAGTAGGTAGGTTTATACTGTATAGATTCAATAATCGTATTAAGATCTTGAAAAAAAATATTTGTTTTAATGCTTTGAAACATCCAAAGATAAAAAGAAACAATTTTTTTATCACAATTTACAATGTTACTACAAAAATTACCTTTTCATCGTTCGTTAAATATTCTTAAGTAAGTAAAACATCAGCGGAACAGAGCACAATATTCGATTAAAACCGACATTTAATTATTAAAAATTAAAAGAATCCACAATGAAAATACCTAAACAATTATCTTATTAAGTACACTCTAAAAAAAACCTTAATGAATAAAGTTTTTTTTAATTTGTACAAATATAATAATTATGTACCTAACTCTTAATTTAAATTACGCAAAATTATTTTTCTCTGAATTATTATAGATGAAAACGATTAATAAATACAATTTAGTACAAGTTATGTAACTAAGCAAATAAAATACTACAAAATATTTTTTTACATTAACATATGAAAATAATATTATATTTTAAACTATATTATGAATAAAGATTAAAAATTTACATCCTATATCGAAACTAAAAAAAATATTGCCAACATCAGCATTTTATAAATAATACACAATAAATTAGACGAAAAATTACAATCATTTTTTTAATACTCAATATTCGTTTTATTACTACCCCTAAAAGAAAAATGAGAACAAAAGAATAAAATAGGATTTTCTTAAACATTTTTACAAAATATAGACTCCATATTATGCTAAAATAATCTTTGTATGCAAAATAAACTTTTTTTATGAATACTGTGTTATAACACTTGTCTACAGTTTTATCCTCGTCGAACAGTATGTAACTCATGAAAAATATGTTAAAATATACAAATCCGGACTTGGTTATCTGTATGAAGGATGAATAGAATATGAAAACACAAATGATGGGTAGCGCAAAACAATTTAATTCGTGTAAAGACTAATACAGAATTATAGCATACACTATTGACAATACAAATTAACTGAATTTATATTTCATTAAATATCGAATTACAGAAGTAATAATAATCGATTTAAGAAATAAATTAAATGTCGATGTTTATTAATATTTTTTTGATTAAAAATGTAAAATAATTTTCCTCTAAATGATTATCACCTATTCACCTGTTGTATAACTAATGTCATATGATGAGTTATACTTCGCTATATTTTATATCGTAAAAGTTTATAGAAGTATACTTCAAACAACATATGTACCCACTACTGATTACTGCAATTTATGAATATCAGATGTTATTCTGTTATAAGACGTGATTTTTGTTACTAATGTAGACACTATAAAGTGTACATTAAACGATGAAATAGTTTATTCGAAAATGAATACTTAAAGACCATAATTTCAAATTCTTGTACTACTTAAGACGTGTTATGCGGAAATAGAAGCTTCTGTTTTTTTTTTTTTTTAAATAAGAACCCACCCCAACCCGCTTTGACTGTAAATTATTGAGTGGATAAATGTTCTGAAAATGTGGACGTACCTATCAAAATCAAATTTAAACGAGTATTCGTTCGTCGTTCGAA